TCTGGTTGTTATAATAAAGTTTACCATATAAAGGTGTTCGTTGTAAGAAAAATCGGCAAATGAAAAATTAATGAAGTAAAATCGGGACTTTGTAATGTGATCGCTGTCAGGGTGAAAACATGAACGGGGTACGTTGAAAAGAGATTTGACGCAACAAGAGTTGGGCTTTCGCGTTGCACATGGGGCCACAAGTGTGTGTGTGTGTGTGTGTGTGTGTGTGTGTGTGTGTGTGTGTGTGTGTGTGGGAGGGGGGGTCTCACAGATGGAGAATTTCATTCTGATCTCTGTCTCAAATGTACGAAAGCACGTTCAAGGAAGGACCGACCACATTTCTGACATGTCAGAAATTCTCAGTACAGGGCCACATCCACATCAGTCCCTAGATTGGTAATCAAACAGCCTAACAGGGGTAACTGGCATTAATTCCTTTTCAATTGAACAATGGACTCATTTAGACTGAGCCCAGTGAATTATGCCTTGCAAAAAGTGCCAGGTAAACGTGTCACATAGTGGGGGATTAAAAAAAGCAAAAACAATATTATTGCATCTGCTAGACCAGGGGTGGCCAACTCACGGCTCGCGAGCCACATGCGGCTCTTTGGCTGGTTCAATGCGGCTCCCGGGCTTTCTCGTGACAAGCGTCGAAAACGCCTCGGCGGTGGCGCTGCCATTCAAACAACGGCACTAAACACACAGAACTAACTACGTCAGCCTATCATCAATCCCGTTACTTGATTGACATAGAGGGCAACCAATCAGATGACTGCATCACCGCTCATGCGAAAACAACGGCGCTAAGCGCTAAGCTAGTCAGCGAATTACCTCTGATTTTAAGGCAGGGGTGCCCAATATGTCGATCAGAATCGACCAGGAGCCAGCGACTTGGTCCCAAGTTGACCGCAAGGGGTGGGAGGAGGAAATGGGTGGGAAAAAAATGATTTGTTTGTTATCTTTAGCTTTCATTCATTTTCGGCCCGTTCCGAGTGTTGCTGATCGTGGTGTGCATGTATATGTGCGCGAGTGCACTGGTTGGCACCTGCGTGAGTGTGTGCGTGCGAGCGCGCAAGTGTGTGTGTGTGTGTGTGTGTGTGTGTGTGTGTGTGTGTGTGTGTGTGTGTGTGTGTGTGTGTGTATGCCTGCACGTGCGCGATTGAGTCGTTCGTGAGAAGTTGGTCGCTTCAAAAGTCGATCTTTGGCCAAAAAAGTGTGTGTGTATGTTGTGTGTGGAGAAGTGTGTGTGTGTGTGTGTGTGTGTGTGTGTGTGTGTGTGTGTGTGCGTGCGTGCGTGCGTGCGTGCGTGTATGTGCGTGTGTGTGCGCGCGCGAGGAAGGGTATGATGTGGCTCTTTGCAGTAACACAGTAAAAAAAAATTGGCTCTTCGTCTCTGGCTGGTTGGCCACCCCTGTGCTAGACAGTTAAAATTGAAAGTTTAAATGTTATGAAAAATAACTTGGTGTCTGTGTGATTATTAACATTGCCATTCCATGAGGAATGTGAAGTCATAAAAGCTGCGGCAGTCGGAGACAATACATGAATTTGGTTCCTGGTATGTACTCCGACCGAGGCTGCTTCTCAGCAACACTTTCCATCGAAAAAGTAACTAGTCCAAACTACGTTGTCAAACTGGTACCAGCTCACTAGCTTTTTCTTTCTAATAAAATTGCAGTATCAATAATTTAAACTCTTTCGGGTTGTCGACATGAATTTGAGACTGTTTAGTACAAAGTCAGGGTGAGAGATGAAGGGAACTTACTTGTTAGACATTGCTTCAAAAGATTAATCTCACTTGCCCTATACTTACAGATAAGTTATATATCATATCAGCCCATGTATTGGCTAGGTCTCGGCATGCGAGTTCCACTGTGGCAAATGGTTTCTGTGTGTTCCAGCTGCTATCCTTCAGAGCTTGTGCAAGAGAGGCTTTTCAGCATACCTAGATGGAGAATGAGATGTAAAAGAGGGCAGGGACGCTGATCCGAGAAGAATTACCTGAGGATAGCAAAGAGGGGTGGAGTACGCAGTAGGAAGGACTTCAGCCGTGTGTGCGTGCATGCATGTGGGCGTTTTCACGGCCTGTTTATTGTTGATATGTGTGTGTGTTTGTGTGTGTGTGTGTGTGTGTGTGTGTGTGTGTGTGTGTGTGTGTGTGTGTGTGTGCGCGCGCGCGCAGTGGGGGCTGGTGACGTGACTCACAGGGTTATTGGCAACGGCACAATCTCCTTCATGTCCTGTAGTCAGTGTGTGCCACCATCATTTCCTACATGCATGAGAATAGGCATTGATTTATTAACATCAAACCGACTTCAGTTCATCACGACGGCTCTGAAAGGCCTCTTTCGGGCCCGACAGCTTTCAGTCCGTGCTGCATCCTCCTCTAATCATGACTCAGATAACGCCAGAGATCTGCTCAATGTATACTACAGTCCTGCACATTCAACAAACATTTGGCCATTTGGTGTGGGCCATGCACACACATGCATGGACAGTATGAAGACACTAAAAGTACCTCCATCAATCCGACAACCACGCCAACATCGACCACAGACTGACCTTTCCTCGCCGAGACATCTACTGTCGTGGTAACCTCGGCAACTGCCATAAATTAGCATCACAGCAATATGTGAGGAGCAACAATTAAAGCTTACCTAACAAGCTTTTGAGGAGCACAGCTGATGTTTCTCTGAGCAGCTGCTAACAGAATTAGCCTAAAAAATGACGGTGATGTTTGAGCTTCACTTTTGAGACACCCGCACACCCACACATCTTATTTTGTGTTAAAAAATGAAAATATTTGATGACATTGCAATGTTTTTATCATAGTTTTCCTTGTGGAAAACCTGATGCAGGCGAGCCTCACTCAGCCTCTGCCTCCAGTGGTCCACAGGTAAACTGAGTTTGAGACCCCTGCACTAAAGGATATCACATACAAAATGAATTTTATCATGCAAACTCATGCAGACGTTATTGACCTTATACAGTCGAAACTAGCACACAATCCAACTGGGTTGTTGTTTTCCACCGAACAGTGAACACAAGAAGTAAAGCTGGAGGCACAAAAGGTAATGAGCAATAAATATTTGTTGCTTGTTGCATGTGGTTTGACCATAAACTGTAATATGAAAATGACTTCTGCCAAACCTCTTTTATACCACCAGGAATTATTCCCCCTGGGCAATTTAGACCGGAAAGGGATGGATAGAAGTTGGATAGAAGGTGGATGAAGGTCAACAGATCCCAATCTCCCCCTGGTGGCTACTTTCAGCAAAAGCCGTAACTCCTGCCCAGCAGGTGTATGTGCCTGTTGCCCTGATGAAGTGTCATGTTCAATGGTAAAACCATCCTCAACAATTTGATGTCAACCAGGGATGATACCAAGCCACTGTGACTGCACAGTCACCTGCGGACATATACGGAATGGTGTGAATGTAAGTAACAAAGTAATTTGATCAACTGTAATTGAATTTTGAGGAACTCTGAAACTCCAATCTATCAATTACATGCAGTAGGAAGTGCCTGTATCTTGGATATTTTGCCCTCATTTTGCAAAAGGCGAAGGAATGCAAGAAGAGGTAGCCCATTCGCGGTCAATGCCATAAAATGCAAGCAGAATCGAGAAATAGTTTGTATTCATGAAGCGCCACTTTGCATTGCTCACTTATTTTTCCCATTGGAGCCGGTTCGTTCCTTTTTCATATTCACACAACAATAAATCTCTTGCTTCCTGTGCTTGCTTCTCTGCACGTTTCTCTCTTCTCGTGCTTTTCCAGTCTCCAGTTCTCCTCTGCTCACTCAAATAAATCTCTCAAACCCCGCCCCGCCACCCATCGAAATCTACGAAACACACACAAACACATATGCGCGTATACGCACGCGGGCAAACAACACACAACCCTCTAGGCAACAGCCACAAAGGCCCCATATTAATAAATCTGCTCCTTTATTGGTGCTGAGTGTCTCTGGCAGGAGGGTAAAGGGGGTGGGGTGGGTGACAAGGAAGAGTAGGAGGAGGAGGAGCCTCAGAGATCAGCAGAGGGGTGACTGACTAAAGTCATATCATGAACATAACAGAAGAAGGGTTTGTGTATGAAAGACATACAAAGAGGGAGATAGCTTCTGAACAAGCATGAACGCTCGCATGTTATTCACAATACAATGAGACTGACATCATTTGCATTAAAGACACCACGAAAAGAACCCCTCGGGCCTTTATCTGGTGTAGGTGTTTTGTTCACAGGATAGGTCTCCCCACAGTTTCTTAGTATTTCTTCTCCAATGGATTATTCAAGACACCTGACATCTGGCTGAACCACTGAAGCATTCTGAATATGGTCATGTTGGTCACTAGACTCTGGAATCCAACTGCCTGAGGTGGGCTTGCGGTAATGACATCGGCAAACTTGGCTTAGTGGTCCAATCTCAGCCATCAGTCAGCTGTGACAGATTGGGGATATGAGCTAAGGAGGTGTTTGGCTCCGTGTTTATGCTGTGTGTGTGTGTGTGTGTGTGTGTGTGTGTGTGTGTGTGTGTGTGTGTGTGTGTGCGCGCGTGCGTGAGTCTGGAGGGTGGAGGCAAGGGGGCTATCGGAGGTGGTCGTGTTGCAGAGGCATCAATACGCTCTCGACAGGCCATTTTCCTCCTCCCCAGCCCCGGCTTGTTGCTGGGGTAACTACAGCCATTTTACCTTCACTGGCTTCACCTCTGAAAGACTTTAAAAACAATCGCAACGCTGCCTGTTTAGATGACCTTTACCTCCAGAGGATCATCTGTATTTGTCAAGAAACAGTTGTTTATTTCAACCTTTGGTTGACAGCCATCATCCTGCACACCGACCAACTAAGCCCTGCAAGCAACTCAGGGTGTTTGTTGTCATGCCAAGGTCAAATGAAAGAAGGAAACGTTCCGAGTGGAGCACCATGTGACCATAGTGCTGACGAGACTCCTGCACTAATTCAATGTCGACTCCTCTAATGATTGTGAAGAGTATTACACATTTAACTTACCTGTCCATGAGGCTGCATGCTGTTGTAGGGGATGTTCTGGTTCAACACCTTCTGCTTCATCAGCAACATTCTCTTCTGCTCCTCACTCAGATGGGCTGTTTGGCCTGGAATTGGCCCTTGGGTTTGCCCAGGCCCGGCGCCTTGGCCTCCACCTGCCATGTAAGGAGGCATCATGGGGTTCTTGACCTGGCTGCTCCCTCCCATGGGTGGGGTCATCCGGTGATCAACCCCACTGCCGCTGAAGTGACTCAGTGGCTTGGTGTTGTTATATGACAAAATGGCTGCCGTTTGCTGCTGCTGTTGCTGTTTGGTCAGGGTGTTCTGGCCGATACTGTTCTGCTGTTGCTGGCCCATCAAGCTCATGTGATTGTGAGGGAGGTAGTTGTTCATGGGACCTTTGGGTCCATTGTTGGGGGCCAACCCAGCCACTAGAGGGGGCTGCGGTGTGTTAAAGGCTTGCGGTGGATACATCATGGGGCTGTTGGGTTTATCTTGGTTAAAGGGACCAGCATTATAAGGACTGGTTGGAGGGCCTGCTGGGGACCAGTTTGCTGCTTGTTGCTGCTGTTGCTTCTGCTGCAACAGTTTAGCGCGTTGCTGAGCAGCCATTGCTTTTAGTTGCTCCGCATGGGAAAGTTCAGGTGTTACAGGTCCTACTGGCTGGCCGGGAGCGAGCCCGGTTCCTGCTTGTCCCGTGCCTGCCTGACTCACACCTGGGCCTTGGTTCAACATGTATCCATTGCCAGGCCGTGAAACTGTTTGTGTCTGAGCCTGGGTCGGGGTTTGAGGAGAGCGAGCCACGCAGTTGTGTAACGGTGACCCCGATGCCATCGCAACGGCCGGGGACTGCTGCAAAGGTTGCTGAGGAGGTGTTCCATTGGCAGTGGTTGCAAACTGTGGACCTGATGATGATGGTCGGACCTGAGGAGAATCCACAAAGAAAAATAACAGAAATCCGGTATGTTGATTTAAATCCAAAATGGTAGTTACAGACGCTCCCCAGCTTACGAACGAGATACGTTCCGAACGATCGTTCATAAGGTGAATTCGTTCGTAAGTTGCTTCAGTGCTATATTTTGTATGGAATAGATGTTTAAGGCTTATATAAGTATGTTTACTTGCTAATGATTGTCGATTGCATCGGCACTGCACCTTACACGTGTTCCATTATGCGATCTTTCTGTTTATAAATGATACCGATGGTCGAACGATTCATGTTGTATGCACGTGCAACGCTCACCCTTTTCTTACCCGCATCAAGCTTCTTTATTATTGCCACTTTCATTTGAAATGAAATGGCTTGCCTCTTCTTTACACTTCCACTCTCACTAGAAGCCTTTCGCTTTTCACCAACCATATTGAATAATGGATGCACGAGATATTTAACAACTGGGCAGAGGAAGCCGGATTCGGGGTGGATGCTGGGCGAGCTCTCACAGCGCCTCACGTCGGTATTAGCGGCGGAAAGAAGCACTACACCTGTACTGTACTCGGAAAAAGGCGCGCAATACAAAATCTAACTTTTTCTTTTCTTTTTCGACATACCCATAAAAATGTTCGTATGTACCGTTGTTCGTAACTCGGATGTTTGTAAGTTGGGGAGCGTCTGTACCAATGTAGGCTGCAATGTATAAATTCAATGTATGTTTGCCTTGCGATTGGCTGGCAACCAGTTCAGGGTGTACCCCGCCTAGTGCCGAGGATAAGCGGCTCAGACAATGGACGGGCAGATGTATTCATTGTTTGTTTACAATCATATAGCAAAACAAATGGGAATTTATATTGCTACACGTAATAATTATTATCGCAAATTACAAGTTATTGTAGGTATTGTGGTGGGGAGATTCTATTCCATATCAATTTTGTGATTCTTTAGCAGGAGTTACCAAACTGAAGAGACCCTTTTTACAACAACACTATACCTATACAGTTGTGCCTTGAGATAGGAGTTAAATCTGTTCAGTGACCACACTTGTAACTCAAACACTCTTGTCTGTAATCATTTTTCCGCATTGAAATTTGTGCAAATGACATTCATACATTCCAGCTATCCAAGCAAAAAGAAAAAAAAAACAAAAACAAACAATTTTTGTTTGTGCTTTTTAAAAATAAAAATACCACTCAAATCAACACCTCCAAATCTGAGACCACGGTCCTCAGTCAGAAATGGGTGGATTGCCTGTCAGGGATGAGATCCTGCCCTCAAGTATCTTGAGGACTTGTTCGCGAGTGAGGGCTGGACGGAATGGGAGATCGATTGGTGCATGGTCTGCATTCAGACTCTGTATCGGTCTGTCGTGGTGAAGAAGGAGCTGAGCCAAAAGGCGAAGCTCTTGATTTACATCCAATTCATCCAAAAAGAACTGGTTAGCGTCAGGAATCATTTGGAACCAGAATCAAAGCAAAGAACCGGAATCAGAACTGGAATCCCCCCTCCTCGACCCCCAAAAGAAATAAAATGCTCAACTCTTAATAAACTCCACGCAGTTTTGTTCTATGTCATTTGTAACCGTGGTGTTGACTCCTACATTTCCAATAAATACTGTGCTGTAATACAAAGTAATTACATTTAATATGGCAATTGGCAGTGCGAATTCCGTAATTTCACGCTACAGTCTAGAGTGCAACCAGGAACAACACTACATCAGACCACAGCATACTTTTCTACGCGGTGTCAATCCATCTCAGATAAGCGGCTCCAGAGAAGCCGGCGGCGTATCTCTGTGTTGTTGGTCCATAGCTTTTGTTTTGCATTGTAGAGTTTTAATTTGCATTTGTAGATGCGACAAATTTTGTTCACTGAAAACATTTTTTGCTAACTGTGGCTTGGCTCAGTCATTATTTCTGTGAATAGTGGGGGTCTCCTGTATTCGTAAAAAACAAACAAAAAAAAAACAGTTGTTTTTTATTTCAATTGAATTTAGGTTGAAAACTATTTGTACAACTTATTTTTGCATTTGGAGTACCAAAGGAAAAAAAAAACATGACAACACTGTATTGAGAATGAAAACTGCAGGTAAACTTAATATTTCTTTACCCTCCAAGAAAATGAACAGTGATAGTTATGTAGGGGCCAGTCACTTTAAAGTCCAATTGTCACATGGAAGCTCTCTCTGCAGACTTCAACACCGAGCATGCACAGTAGGGTGGTCCACATTTTCATGGCAAAAAAAAAAGTTTGTCGGATTCGTCGGGCCGGGTCGGAATTCTTGTCGATACTATGGTACAAGGTTCTGTGCAAAATTTCATTCCGATCTGATGATATTTTCCCGTCCCGCAAAGCGGCCAAAGTTTCCACCATAACAACTGGTCTCAATAGGGTGAACATGTGTATTTTAACCGTGTATTTTGCCATGCGTGACACTGGCTGGGCTGAATGTTGCCCGAACGATCACCTCCTGACTAACTAAACCTTCCATCGCTGCTCTCAGCAGCCGGAGACAAACTCAAACGCACGCCTAACACACAACGGTCACCTACTGGCGAGCTAATATCTTTCAATTGAAGTCGAGAATCGCCGGAATTCTTACTGGACGCTGAGCTGAGGACGCTTTTCGACATCGAACATCACCACGGCTCGTCGGCGCGCTCGTCACCTACGGGTGGTGAACGACTTTGCGGAGAGGGGCGTCGCCCTCATCAGCGCGTTCTGCGGCGCCATCACGCGCGACGAGGAACAGCGACAGCACCTTCTGCAGGTCGTGGAGCGACACCGGGCGTTGCACCCGTGCGCGAAGTAGGCATGGGATGGCACGCACGGCGGATTTCGTTTTTTTTGCGGTCTAACAGTGTCACTAGTGTTGATGGACATTATAGACAGATGGACAGATAGACAGATGGACCAGTGAACATGGACCAACAATCTCACCAGTGTTGAAGGATAACCACGGTTGCCTTTTTTGCAATACATGCGTTCCTGTCTTCCGTCTTTGAATTATTGCAAGTGCGAACTGAGCAAAACAAAATCCTTACTGTACGGGAGAAACCGTACTACCATTCAGCCCCGTAACATTCTTTCCATAGGGGAAACTTTGGTCGCTCTGCGGGACGGGATAAAATTATCCGATCGGAATAAAATTTTGCACACATCCTTGTGTCATAGTATCGACAAGATTTCCGACCCGGCCCGACGAATCCGACAAACTTTTCCAAAATGGACCACCCTAATGCACAGCTTTGGGATGGTGACTGCTGTTGCGTTTTGTTTTGTTTTTTTATGATGGTATTGCGTGTCTGTACAATCTTCTTAAACCGATACTGAATTGCGAGAAGTATTGCAATGCACTGTTGAATCGATGTTTTTACCCACCCCTATTTCTTGGTGATGGTTTTTCACACAAAACATCCCAACAGCTCGTATCCTGTATTTAAAAGAGGGCTTTGATCACCATTGAACATTTGGGAGAGCAAAACAAGTATAAAATGAAGTGTGAAGTGATGGAATTGGAAGTGTTAGTGGATGAGGCAAACAAACAGACTGAATTGATCACTCTGATCATTTTGGGCACATGCATAGAAGCCGTGCTTTGTTTGACTTAACTCACCCCAAGTGTGTGGCAATTGGATGTAGAGGTACCGTATGTGTTCATTTTGTGTAATGTTGCATTTCAAACTTAGGACAGTCCGCCCAAAAAACTGCTCTGGGACAGACGACCACCAATTATCACAGTCCTCTGAAATGACCCAGGCCAACCTTTTGTCATTGTTAATATAATTAAATGGTGACTGGCTTCAAGTCAGCCCTTCCTTCCATCATTCAGAAGCGAGTGACGATATGTCGGGATAATTTCTGTTGGCAATTCAAAAATGTTTACATGAGCAGAAACATTTTCCCCACTGCCTCTCAGTTTGTTTGGGCAATATTGGCACCGCAATGTGCTTGGTTTACACCCCCCTTTCATACACAATATTTAAAGACCCACAATTAGTCAGCTCAATTTGTCTCGGGTTTGACAAATCACATTACGTGTGCTAAATTCATCTCTTTGAATATATACCTCCTACAACAGACACAATTAACTATGCCAGAATGTGCACATATAAACCTGGTTGCTCTAGTTGGTAAACAGCTTCTACATCTGTTTGCATCCCAAATCAAGTGATTGCATCTTAAAGCACGTGCAATCCTTTTGTAAATACGGCCTGAAGTAGTTTAATCGTAAGTCTAATTTTTGACTGTTGGTTGACTATACCGGTGAGACTTGAATTTTGTGGTACTGACCTGGGGTGAGCCCATTGGCACCTGTGGACCACCCTGCAGAGGCTGAGCAGGGGCAGGAAGGGATGTTGGTGGCACGGCGCCCCCCACAGGTGCTGTCGTATTTCCAACTGCTTCCTGTGGGCCTGGAGTCTGATTGTTTGCCGGCCTACCAAAATCACCCTCTTTTTTGTCTTCAAAATCCTCATTGAAGAGGTCGTGCATATCGTCCTCTGGAACCGTGTTGGCCAACTCATCGATCAGCTCCTGCCACTCTTGATCATTGAGGTTAATGTCAGAGAACAGCTTGTTCTGATTGGACAAAGATTGTGGATCCGAAGACTCTATTCCACCTCCATCATCGAGCGGTTCCTGTTTCAGGTCTTTGAGGAGGCTGAAGCTGTCCTCCAAGTCCAGTGAGCCATTCATCTTCATGTCTGAAAGATGACTGCCACCGTTCTTGACTAGCTCATCTGCTGGCCGCCCTACATGATTACCATTGCTGTTTGTGCTGTTTCCAGTGGAAGTGTTGGGAGCGCCGAGTAGGGGCTTAATGTCTATTTGGTGGTGCAGTGGAGAAATGGGTGGAAGGTTGTTGTTATTGTTGTTAGGAAGACCTGTTAGTGAGTCTAAACCACCAGAGGCCTCCTTCCGTAATCGCTTGCTCGTCGGTGAGTAGCTGCCTCCATCACAGATGCCATTCTGCTCTCCATTGAGGGGCGATCTTGCGCTGTCCAGTTTCCTTTTTACCGTCTCCTGGAG